AATGGAATAATATATTATATTTCGCGGATGAAATGAATATTTCAATTATTTTTAATGCTAAAATCTTGATACTCACCGGGGGATAAGTTTCCTCGCTAATTTGGCTTTCCCAAGACGGTCCGCAAACGTCTAGCTTAGCCGGCATCAGGCGGCTGCGATACATTTGATCGTCTTTTCCTTTTATCAAACCGTCCGTTAATTGTATAATTTCCGGTCCCCATTGAGTCAGGAAGTGTCCCATCCGCGTTACGCGTTGTTGAGGAGTCGTGATCGTGTGACTGCCGCCGCAGTATCGATTGCAGAGATGATCTCTAACACATCAGATTTATTTTTTAATTTGAGATATCATTTATTTTTCAAGATGTAGCATATAATTTTCGGGATTGAACGAAAATTTCTTACTTTGTAAGCATTTCCTCTCTTGTTGTTTTCATCTTTTTTGCTTCTTCTTGCATCGCTGCCTCAAATTGTCTCATATTTCTACTGTGAGGCAATCTTTTCTGTTGTTTTCTAACTTGGTCCAACTTGTATGTGAGATAGGGCTTTATGCTGGTGGTGCAAGGTAATGGATGGGTGCGAAACCTGTTAACTTCCTCCATCTTCATCACGACATCCTTATTGCACGATATACATTGAACATCCCTGAACGTAGGATTAGGATATTGGTATTGTAAATACTAAAAATTGAAAATCCTAGTTGCGCGCCCGAAATGCCTACTTAAGCAGTTTCTTTTTTGTTCCAGCTGCCTCGATCTCGTGTCTTGCCTCGGCAATAATTTTTAGTTTATCTTGAAGAGATTTTAATTTCTTATGTATAAAGTCTTTTAGTGGTGTCATTTCGATTTTATCTACTTTGCTCGCAATTTCGTTTTGTATTTCATCGAGCGTTTGCTGCCAAATTAATTCTTGCTTGCTTAGTTTGTCGATTGCCTCCTCGAGACCACGCGTGAGATCATCACAGGCAGCGTCAAACCGGTCATGTGATACCTAGCGATTTAGTGATTATTTCAATTGATCGATTAGAAATGTAAGTTAGCAGGTAAACCGTTATACCTTTCTATTCACAGTTTGAGTATCCGCTTTGTCGGCCAAAGCATCTTCGAGATCCTCTTTGTCTGCTTTGATCGTTTTTAGAATTTCTATTTGTGCCAGCAGTGTCTAATGGCATAAAATCAATAAATCATAATCCGAATAAATTACATAAATCACAAGATAGGAACTTTTACATATTTATCTAAACTTGATTAATTTCTGTTTAATGCAACAAGTGAATAATATCGCAATTAATCCCTTTTTTTATTATTAAAAGTCCGTACGTTAACGTGTGTTTCTCGTTCTTCTTTCTCATCAAGAAGTCTGTCCATCGTTTGTCCGAGTTTTTCCATATCTGTTTCAATTTCTTCTACTTTCGCAACAAATTCTTTAAAATCGATGTCGTTTGTCTTTATTTCCACACTATCTATTTTTCCCAACAAATTATCAATTTCCTTTTCCACTGTAACCACTCGTTGGGTAATGTTCTGCAAAGCTTCGCTGTGTGTTGTCTCCACATTTTTTACAGCTTCCAAGCATCGCTCCAAGCTTGCGGCATCACTCACTTCATCTATCCTCTCTTTATTGACAGCCGTTGATGTTTCGATTTCTGTTCAATATACAAATATAAACAGTAAAATCCTCAAACAGTGGATGTAAAAAATTAAATAAACGTACGTGCGACTTTCTCGTTAAGATCTTGCAAACCCTGCTGTATCTGAGTCACATCTTTTTGCAATGTAGTAATAATTGCTTCTATAGTAACCCGCCTTTCTCGCTGCGATGGTATATCGATAGTCATTTTTCCAGATGTTTCGATATCTGTTCAATATACAAATATAAAAAGCAAAATATAGGCAAATAATAGATGTAAAAAATTTAATAAACGTACATGCGACTTTCTCGTTAAGATCTTGCAACTCTTGTTGTACCTGAATCACATCCTCTTTCAATGTAGCAATATCTCGTCGTATTTCCATTATACTGATTTCATCTAAATATATTTTAATATTTAATAAATTGCAAAATTCAATTATAGAATTTAATATATCTCTTTGTCAGTTATTTCTGATATATTCTAGAAACTGCAATAGCTACAAAATTAGAAACGACTTTCATACAAGCTAATAATGCTTCAATATTAAAAGAAATTTTATATTTAAAATCGTTAAACTCATTACTCGTCATCCGTCTGACATCATTCGTGTCAGGCACTATTTTAGAAATTTCTTTCGTTATTTCTTCTTTTTCCTGAGATGGTATGAACGCTTCATCGATTTCTCCTGTTACCATATTGGGTATCTCGTCGGTTGTCGCGGGTTCTACTGTTGCTTCTGTTACTTCATCGACGTCGTAGGTTGCTGTAGGTTCTATTGCTTCTGTCACATCCATCTCGTCGATTGCCGTTGTTGGTGGTGCATCTTTGCTTAAAGCATCAATGACTGCTTGTAGGTAAACGAGCTTTTGCTCCATTTTAGAAACTTTATCTTCAAGTTCGTTCAATCTCTCGTTAATCGATAACATGTCTGCTGTTGGAGCTACGCTAATATCACCCTTGATTACATCTTGCATCATTGTTGTAAGCTGCAACGAGAGTTATATAATTTTTTATATTTTAAGATAAGTGTCTTCGATTATTCTTTGTCGAAATATTAACATAAATTTCTGTGAAAGATTTACGAGATTAGCAAGTAGTATACCTTATCGATACCTTGTTCGTTTGCATCCAATCTCTTATTGATGTTAATAACTTGCCACATGTCCGTGACAGGATCTGTTATTTTGCCTTTCAGACGTTCAATCACTTCCGGAGTTGTAGACAATTCTTCTAAAGCTTGATACTGCTGCTGCAGCTGATTCACCTATTATTATTAATTAAATGGTGTCGTATAATTTTTCTTTTCACACTTTATCAAGCATTTATTTTAAAATAAATTTGTCCTACACACAGATTGCTCGAGTTTTTTGAACGCTAGTGCCGTAGGCGGAGCACCATTTACGACAGGTTCCACAAATATGACCGTCTCAGCTTCGTCGTTCTTTCCGGGTCCTATATGGTGCTTTACGCCCTTTGTAACTTTCAAATCGGTCTCCGTAGGTGGTTCAGCACCTGAATCAAGTTACATCTGCTTATCATAGCAATTTATCGATTTGTTAAATACAAACGTATGAAAATGCGAAGCGCGAAAGTCATGAATTTGTACCTTCTGCGAGTACTTCAACATCTAATTCTTCTCTCTCAATTGGTTGCATTATTTTACCAGTACCATCGGTAATGCTATACTCGTGAAGCTGAAGAGCAGGTCCTGGCTTCAAGGCCGTTACCATCGTCTGCAATTCTTTGCGTTAGCTTACGGAAATCACTCTTTTCAATTACGCAAATATTATTTTTTTTATACTTTAATGCGATCTGCGTCTTCGCCGCGGTATTCCACTTTAACAGTCTGCAAATTTATTTGACGCAATAAGATGTGAAGGAAATTGTGCAGGATGTTAAAATTGACCACGCCAATCTGAAATCAACGATATTATAAGTCGTTTTGTCAATGAATAATCTATTGTTTTGTTATTGATTTACCTCCGGCGTTCCGAGAGCAAGATCGAGCATTTGAGGAAGGGAAATTTGCAGGCTGACAACATCGTTGTTAGCTACTGGAGGTGTTTCCTGCAGTTGTGTGGTTTCCGCAGTCATTTTTCACGCGAATGATTGACTCCTCGCGAATCACGTGAGAATCATAATCATGTCTTACTTTTTGTTTATTAAAAATGGGGTTATCGTAAAAGATGCTGACTGAATTGTCAATTTTGAAAATCAATTATCTCTTGTCCCTACATTCATCCCTTACCTGATAGACGAAGGGAAGTAGAGTTTTGTCCGTGTATTCATAGTTGGCGCCACAAATAAGATCGACAAGTAGCGTACTCCTATGGAAAATACTTGTATTATAATATATTCCTTTATATTTTTTATTTATTATAAAAATTTTTAAGAGTTAACACAATTTCTTTATCATTTTTTTCTATATTTATGAATAAGATGATATACTTCTCATTAATTAATGACGATCACTCTTTTATTATTACATGTTGTTTAAGAAATTAATGTTGAAATAATTTTATTACTTTTAATAGGAATATTATATATATTTGATATTTGCGAATTGCATTATTCACGCTGGAAAGTAAAATGTGATATCATTAGGAAAATATTTCTCGTAATAACACATACGTTATGTCATAAACACGATAAAGAGCATAAAAAATCTATTGCCGTAGTTCGTAGATATGTTTTTCAATCATCTCTATTGTTAATCAAATGCCACTGATATAGCCGTTTAAATGAAACAGTAATTCACCGCGCGTCATTTCTCCACACACTAACTCGGTCTATCTGACTGCACGTGGCTGGTAGACCGAAACGCGAAATAGAATCAAGCTAGCTAGACTACCTCGCTAGATTACATCGACCGGTATATATTTTATCGAATCCGCGGATATGATATTCTCGAACGTTTCCGTTAGCCAGATATGATAAACGTCAGCTCGATCGTCTATTTATATCTCTGACATATCCATACTGAGACTATGAATACTTTTGTATTAATGCCGGGATAGATGAAAATTTTATTTCCTAGTCGGATTAACACATATTACAAATATGGATAAATTTAACTGTAAGCAGTAAATTCGAAGACTAATAAAATTGTATTTCTCTGTTTGTACAAAATTATAATTTTATTAGTTTAATAATAATAATAATAACATTAAACTAATAAAATTATAATTTCAATTAATAATTTATCAGAATTTTTCAGCTCTTCTCTTGCAGTCTGCATATAAAACCAATGTTTAAATACTTAAACTAGAATCCGGATTGTAGAAAAATTATGTTTTCAAGAAAATTAATTTTTCTCTCTTAAGTTCTTTCACACTCGAGAGATTTGGCAAAATCTAGGGAAGCTCGAGTACCGTTTTGAGCATGAATCATTCAGCTGCGGTTACGCTATGTTCGTATATAGCTGTGTTCTCGAATTACCCATGATAAAGCCGACTAACGGCGCTGTTTGAGTTACGTTGTTTGATCGCCGGACGAATGTTTAGCCGTGAGTAATGTCAGCATTCTTGACATTTGATAGCCGCCGTATGATTTACTCATCCATCAGGTGAGAGACAGCCTTTTTCTGTCTTCTTTCGCGTTTTACTCGCACCGGTCTCGTTAGTGTGGCGGCGATCGCGACTGCGGAATGATGTATACGTTAAAGGGGAGGTACGCGGTGGTGACGGTGAGTACAAACCGATTTCAAGTCATTTAATTTTAATGCCATTTATAATCGATGACATCAGCGTCGATTCTCAGATATTTATGCATCTACCGTTTACCTTTCGTTCGCGGCAAATTTAATTTCGGTTTTTATCCTCTGTCGCAGCTGTCGTCTACATTGTTCGGTTAAAATATTCAGTGTAACGTCTATTTACATATTTCCGCGCAGAATCGGATCCGGTTTATGTCGCGCGATTGTTTCCCAATTGTTTCAACGCGCAAAACGCGCTCGGGCCATATACACGGACGCGTGCATTTAAAATGCATCGAATGATAATTTTATATCCGCTGTTGCTGCGAGAGAATCGACGATCCAAAAGGTCGCGGAAATATCGTTATAATCTAGTTTGCAAGCAAACTTCGACGTGCCATGTTGCAAATATTCGTTATTCGCCCGTGCAAATATCCACGATGCCGTGACACGAAAATCTCTTTTCAGATTCTTTTGTTTGCTCTGAGTCGCGGTGATCTCTTCAGACGCACGCGGCAACAGCAGCGATACAATCCCGGGATATCGGCATTTCCGTGGCATCTCGCACCATCTTGGGAGTACATACTCCATGAGATTATTCTCAAGTCGGTCACCCCGCCGCCGCAGGATGCTAACGTGCCTTACAAGCGTCCGTTGGACGCGTCTTTCTACGGCGGGCCGGTCAACGTGAATTTCAGCGACGACGTGAATGTTGTGTCGCGCGGCAATGTCTATCGTCTGCTCAACGGCCACTGGATGCTGTGCCAGGACGGATGCGTGGATTGCGAGCCGTGCGCGGCGCAGAGGAATCCCTTATTCAAGTGGGTCCTGCAGAGGGTCAAGCAGCTGTCAGTTTCCGACTCGCCGCGACACGATCTCCAGCTGACGATAATGCCGCAAGCGGACGATCGCTTCCCCGCGAGCAATCTCTGGCCGAATTCCTATGTTTACGTAACATCCCAGAGCGAGCGAGCGCCGGTCTCGATTATCAGAACGCAGTACAATAACAATCATGACAATGTCTTGTCCAATTTGGAGAACAGTTTTTCCGAGCAGCATTATCGATCGAAGGATCTCTGGCGATTGACGCCGCGAGACTCGGTCGCCAGTCAGGACAAGATCCCGCGGACAGATGATCGCGTTACCATTCAAGAGAACGCGAGCACCGAGCAGCCCAAGAAGGAGGAATCGCCTGAGCAGAGAGACAGATTCAGAAATACGACGATACACCGATCGCGGCCGAAATTTGTGAAAGAACAGGATCAATCAATCAATTTGACGTCGAAATTAATCCTGGGAACCGATCAACAGGGTCAGAAGCATCTGATTCACGTGGTACCGGTGGATCATCCGCCGACCATCGCACTTCCCGTGAATCATTCGCAATTTGCGAATGATCAAGCGGCGCAGTTGAACGACACGTTAGATCAAGCGACGCAGTCGAACGACACGATCCCGAAACGCGAGAAGCAAGCTTACCAATGGATACTCCGTAGGATTTTTGACTCCTTGAACACGCACAGGCAATCGATCGAAAATTTCCTCGAATCCTCGCCGGCCGACAACGCGCAAAGGATACCATCTTCGACGGATAATATGGAAGCCGTTGCATCTTCCTGGCGCAATCGTAATGCAAGACATATGAACGCTCGTAATGTTGAGCCATTGCGCTTTAATAATGCAACGTTACCATCTTTATATGTGGGAAACGAAGATGGAATGGGGAGACATCGATACAGAAACAAATATGGTTACGAAAATATGAAACAAAATGTTAATAATTATTACACGACATATCGAGATACGAATCAAGATATAATGCTGCGCGGACAGTCGCTAATAGATTCAAATTGGAATCGAATTGGAGATCGACGAAAAATTCACACCAAGCCATATTTTGTTAACGGTAAAAATATTTCGAGGATAGATTCATTGATTCCATTTAAAAATTCAGGTAATACTTCACTAGATGTTATTTCTGTTGATTCTAATAACAGCTTTATTATACACTCCGGGAAACAAATTAATTTTAATGACACGTTCGATAAGGCAAATAATAATTTCACGGAATCGAATTCGATAATAATAAAACGCGAGAACGGACAATTATTCAAATCAGAACGGCTGGAAAGCGGCGATGCTAATCAAAAGTTTGAGGCTTCCCGTCATTCTTTCAGGATAATTGATACCACCGAGTCGCCAGTAATTCGAAGAGAACACGAAACCCTAAATCGCACTAAAACACTACAAATCACTACGTCAAAGTCATTCGTTGATGATCAGTAATTAAGGTACAAAAACGACGATGGAAAAGTTAATTGCGATATTGCAATTATACATATATTTGTATGATTGCAGCAATTAATTCGTATAAATTACGTAATACATAATATAATATAACGTTTATCAAATTAATATACTTTCCAATAAAATGTATCAAGATTCGATTTTTTAATGGAGGATTGATTGTACTCTAATATGCAATGTAATCGCATAGCAAAGAAAAAAAAGAAAAAAAAAATATTTGCATTAAAATAAATCGACAAGGTACGGCATTTAATAAGAATTTCGTAAAATTTCTCGTATTATAGAAACGGCTATAACGTGCGGCGAAAGTTCACTATTAGACAGTGTTATTGTAATATACATTCTACACGCATATATGCGTCCCTCATATAAACATGAATACAGAACCTGCGAGAGAGCACCGGCAAGGATACGCATGAAGGAAGAAGGCGTACGGCGCAGTTTGAGAAACAGGGATAGGCCGACGCTTATATTTAATTAAAGAGGATACGGGCTCGAGCGCGGGGGAGAAGGTCGGATAAAGCAGGTTGTGTCGGATAAGGCGGCAGGGGGGAGCTGGAGAACGAGCCTGTGTTTCTTGTCTAATTATCTACCCTCCCGTCCTGGCCGACCTGCCACGTTCACTTTCTACGTTTAGTAGTTGCTTCCGTCCGATCCGCCTTCTCGTATCTCCGTCTTCTTCTCTCTTTATCTCCGCCGGTTCTCCACATCCGCCGCTGCTTCCCGATCGCGCGTCCCTGCGCGCTCCTTTCTTATTTCTAGCATCTCGGCAGAGACGAAGGAAGACAGACAGCTCTGTCCAACTACTTCTCTGTCCGCGCGCGTTCCCGAGCTTAACTCATCCGCTCGCTTACGAACGCGCCAATTGCAAATCGCCGCGAGGATCGACCGGACGAACTCCCGGAAGTTTTTAATTAGATCGCCCCGTCTCTTCCTTCCTCGGCGATCAACAGCGTTAATATGATCAGGAATAAGATTCGCCGCCCTGGGCACAGTATCCTACGTGAGCGACGTGGAAGATTCTTCGTTTTTTCCGAGACCCACGTCTAATCGCTTTCGCTGCCGCGGCGTCTTTCCTCCCCGACGTCCCTCGCTTGTCCTTCAGCGGCTCTTTACCTGATCTCGGTCACCCTACGTTTCCCTCGTTCGCTTTGCTACAGTGCGAATTGTGCAAAACGATCGACTCGATCCCTGGCAGATTGGTTTTAACGAGTTTCCTTTCAGCGCGGTTTATCGAGGAATTGCGGACGCTTTCGCGGCGAGGCTCTCGGCGCGTCGAATACGCCAGGGAAATTTCCACGGAAGATCTTAATTAAAGACGCCCGCCGAAAAATGAGAGCTCCCTCGGATTGAGGGGGAACGGCGTTATTGCCGCACCGACGCGCCGGATCCGATTATCGCGCGGTCTGATCTATTAACTGTGTGTACGTAGCTTAAGGGGATTCGCGAAAGTTGGGCTACGCCGCGCTGCCACTGTGGCGCAGGTAAATACGCGACTGATTAAATTTTACTTAAGAAATGTTTCACGATACAGCATACATTTTGAATTCTGTAAGTGAAAAGTATAGCGCGGATTTTCTGGTTAATTTGGAGTCAGCAAAATTGTTTAAAAACTAATAATTTCTCGAAAGGTCTTTTGCAAATTCAGGAGAAATATAATAACACAGCCATCATACTTAATTAGTTTTAAACAAACTTGGGAGTTTTTGCGCAAATAATATAATATTTTTCCCATTTACGTTTGCCAATGTAAATAATACTGTCAGTTAATACTATATTAATATACTTGCTATTTATCAAAAAAAGAAGGCATTAACCAATTCATGGAGAATATTTTTCAGATTCAGCCTTCTAAATTCAACTCAATTCCTGCTTTATATCGGTAAGCACCCTCTCGTATGTATACTCGCACGCAACTCGGAGATAAGCGCACAGCCAGCGCCGTAAGTCTATCGGGCTTTCAGACGGCAAAAAGTGGAGGAAGCGAAGACGAGATTGGGAGTAGGAGAGAAAAGAAGCCCGGCTTTTAACAGTAAGACGATGGAGAGAAGGCCGGGAGACCCGTCTGATAGGAGATTGACGCCCCAGCGCGTGAGAGGCCGACGCGTGAAGGAGAGAAAAGGGAAACAGGGCTTACTAAACGCGTGGCGGAAAAGACGTTTTTCTCTCTGCCGTTTTCAGATATTTAAATCCGCGCGAACGACTTCGGGGGTTGCGCTCACGGATCACCCTCCGATCCGAAATCTCACGAGCACCGCTACCGTCTGGTTTGGCACGAAATGAGAACGGAAGAAACGCGGCGCAAATGTTAGGAAGGAAGCGGGGCGGGCAGAAGAGATAGGAAGAGAGAGAGTGCAGAGTGAGTTGTTCGAGCGTGACGTGTATTCTTGTCAGGGTGAGGCCGAAAGACGTAGTATACAGCAGACTTTACAGGCCGTTCGTCGGAGAGGAAAAAGAAGACAACGCCGAGGAAGGAACGAAAGAGAGTGAGAGAGAATGAGGAGGGAAGGAAGGGAGCGGAGAAGAGCGAGGAAGAAATTGTGGAGAAGGAGAGGATCTCCGGTATGTACTTCTTAATGGTGTGGGTGTGTCGGCGCGGATGGAGGAGTAAGTTTTAAAAACATCCCGGTCGACGCGCGCCTCCATGGTGCTGGTTTTATCGCTGCCTCCTACCTTCAGGAGGACTCTTCTCCTCTCTCGCGCTCTCTTTCTCTCGCCGACTCCGCGCCGTAAACCCCCATCCGGGCAAAGCCTTACACGCCGTGGCACCGGCACACTTGCCTACGTACGTACTGTCGGCTGTAAATCCACCGAAAAGCATCTGCGGGTATCAAGAAACAAGTCCGGGCTGCAACGTGCGCGACGGGTGAGCTTTTAAACCTGCATGAGCGCGGCGTGCAATTTCGTAACGATCTGTGCAACGCAGGTGCTCGGCTCGGTACAACGAGATAAAATTGCTGCCCAAAATGCGATGCACTCGCGATGCGCTCAAAAGAGCGCTTATGGCTTTTTTATCGAATGTATTTGTGCAATTAATGTACGTGGAGTATTCGTGAATATTCATTGGAATATTTATGCATTTATCGTGTCGCATACTGAATAAAATTGTGACGAGACAGAGGTACGTAAATAACGTTCTTTACTTTTGTATTTTATTTATTTTCAATTTTAATTAAATGTACAACAAAGAATACAATTGACATTTTAATATTAATATGTTACAAAATGTTTTTTTCAGACATTCAACATCTCGATGACGACTTGCTCCGCGATCGATTAGTAGAGATACTAACTGGTCGACTACTCGTTCCGATGAGCATTCACTCGAGTGCAGACCACGTTATAAATTACGTGCAACAAACTGAAACTACAGGGCGGCCAAAGAAGACGACTAAGAGACGTTTTTAGCGTAACTTCGACGTTGATGCGAAACTCCCGGTCTTCTCTCCTCACCGATGGTTCGTCTACTTCGACGCCACCGCCGCGTTCACGTCATTCTGCCGACCTTTTTGCGCGAGATACTTTTCCTTTGACCGACAGCAGTAGATTGGATATTTCTCTCTGTAGCGTGCCTGGTTTTTTCTTTCCGCAAGGCGGTACGCGTACGCATCTGAGACCCGTTTTCTGAGACCCGCTCGCGTTTTTCGCGCCTTTCTGACGCAACGTAAACACACTTACGCAGCTGAACGGATCGGCGAAGGTGAGCTGTACACTTGCAACAACGAGCGTAAGCGACAGCCGGGGCGGTGCGAGAAACAAGTCGCATCAACATCCTATTTCGTTTCCTATTACGTAAACGTCTGAAGCACGCGATTTATTTGTTTTATTTTCGTATAGAATGTTCTTTGGCAGGACCTCAAAGGCAAGCCGGGTTCCGCGTCGGTCTCACCCCGCCGACCTCACCAGCTCTCTTCCACCCACGGCGACTACCCTTGCCGCTCTCGCCGCCCTTGTACCGACGACTCCTCACATATGATTACCATCGACGTGAAGCGAGCTAATATCCGAATTTTTGCGATTCCTTTTACGGGATATTGAAAGCCATTTTCCTCTTTTCCCTTTGCCCTGTCTTCTTTCATTCCGGCACTCTGACTTTCCGGCTCTGTCGGAATATATACCGTCTTGTCTCTTTATGGATTCATCATAAAGATCAAGCCAAAAACGGCCGAAAATTCCGGTAGATCGAAAATTTTACGATGGATGGAAATTTTACGACGTCGCTGCCTGATTAAATCGCCAAGAGTCGAATACACATATATCCCCGTGACGCGTGGATATCCCATATCGACGAGTGGTATAATCAACCGTGCATTCTGCGGTAATGCTTGATATCGATGCGTATAAATGCGATTCCCGCGTGTAACTACGCGTGAGTACGAATCGCTGTTATAATATTAAATCGGCACGATAATAATTACGGTGATTTCAGGTGGTTGATATTAATGAAGGCAATATCGCGCGTACGACATATCATTTGCGTAATGAAAACTACGATCAATCAATTAAAAAACAGCGAAGTGATGAAACGCGGCAATTCCATTTCCAATCCATTAAAATTGCAAATCGAAACTGCAACCTGCAAAGCTTATTATAAAAGATATTGTGCGAAACAATGCGGCGATAAAACTGGGGCAATAAATATCCTTTGAGCACAACGGCTTCCGTGTAACAAAAGGATCTCCGCGGCTTTAAAAGAACATATTCTCGCGCTGTTGATTAATTGCGCGCGAGAAACGAGATAATTGCTGAAGTGTATTTATGACACAGCGCGCCCGCGTGTGCGCTCACGGCAAGTGTCGAGTCCGGGACAATCGTCGCAATCCCGCAATGAAATCTCGCTTGTACGCATTTGCCGTGGAGAGTCTCTCAAACCTCGGGCGCACAGTGGCAAACGATGGGGAAGTTGCGGGAAAAGTTTCTCCGCGATTACTCAACATCGTCGTAAAGAAACAATCGGCACTTCCGTCTTCGTGCTTCCACCGCTCCGCGGGGAATGCAATTTGCGCCGCTACTCGCCCCGCGGCGAGGCGGAGCTATTTTTCCGCGGCTACGGCGAGGTCGCGCGCGAGTACCGTCTCGAACCTGTTAAAAGAAATGTCATTAACGTTCCCTTTTGTGGCTTGACCTGCCCGCCCGCGATAAACGGGAAAATAGGTTAATAGAATCCTAATACGAGCGCGCATTCTCTCGAGCGTTCCGTTCTCTTCCTCGCGGGCGAGCACGGGATCGAC